CTCATGTAAAAAGTTGATATTTGATAGTAGATACTTCTACTCTTTCACATATTTGATGCCCGTCTCCATATATTTTGTCCCTCCAAATCACCCCAGAATATGCACTGTGATCTCTTTTGAGAAAAGGCTAATTACAGTTAAAGTGAATATACTAACCCATATAGAATCGAAATCCAGGATGACATTTCACATATTTTTTTTTAAAAGAATATTGAGGAAAAATATCATTTTGGAAAAAAAATGCAAAAATTGCAAAAGATGTTATATTTAAATTTTAACAAATTTATTTTCGTTCTTCGAGAAAATAAGTAAGAAATAATTTATTATTAACCATTATTTCTTATGTTAAGAATTTGATTTCTTGTTTTAAAAATTTTGTTAAGAAAATGATTTGATATGAAGATGACAAAATCGTAAGAAAACATTCATATTTCAAGAAAACAAATGTAATTTAAGATATGTTAAGAGAATTTTTCTTATTTCAAAAAATGTTCTTCAACAAATATTTTCTTGCAGTAAGAATTGTTTTCTCAATAAGAAATTATTTTTTACTGTGTAGTTGAGATACCTGATATTTTGACAGACAATTGACATATCTGCAAATATCTGCAACTTTTATGCAGATATTTTGCAGATATGTTGACAGATAATCAACATATCTGCAACTTTTATGCAGATATTTTGCAGATATGTTGACAGATAATCAACATATCTGCAACTTTTATGCAGATATTTTGCAGATATGTTGACAGATAATCAACATATCTACATATATCTGCAACTTTTATGCAGATATTTTGCAGATATTGTAGATCTTGTTGCAGATATGCTGCAGTACTGCAACAGATATATGACAGATACTTGCAGACATTTTACATATATGTCAGTTTGGTAAGGGATTATCAGGAATGTAGGAAATACAACAAAATATGATGTACAGAACTTCAGAGTTGCCTGTGGAGGAGGCTAATTTTATCACAAACAGGTTGAAATTAATTTGTCACTGTGGCTTTTAAATTTAAATCAAATGGCTGTCAAGATAGTGATTTAGATACGGTATGTTTCCAATAATTTTGTCACCATTACATGGAGGTAAGGCTACAATCAGTTGTTGCAATTTTTACAAATTTAAAGCCTGTGAATCAAGTACTCCTTATTACTCAGTCCAAAAAATGGACTGAGTAAATACACCTCGCAAAAAAAAAGTAAAGCACATGCTTCACAGTATAATTCCACATGTACATTCTTACAGCTACAACAGACAGCAACAGTTTAGCTTGTATTCAGTAATAGCTTCTGAAGCAGTAAGGTTTCCATATAATATGATGATGATCATACAATTATACTAATATTATATTTCAAGATCAGTTTCAAACTTTTGTAACACATATACTGTTAGTACATATGATAGCCTCAACAAAATTAAATGCTCCTCATTTCCAAACTTCGCACTGTCCGCCCTATGGTATAAAATAATGAATTTTTTTCTTATGTTTAGCTATATCTGTCCTTGCGGAACTTTAATTCTTACCTTATTGCTTGTTCCTTAGTAATATATTCTGTAATGTGGTTTACATTTTTTGCCATATGATTGCTTTCATATTCACTAGTATTTTCCCAATCCATGCTACTATCTTCCCATTAAAATGTTGAAGTTTTACTTGTAGTTCTCAGTTAGTTGAATCCCTCTTAATCCACAGCTTTCTGGTGATATTGTCACTACTTATCCTGGCACAGAATGTTTGAGATAAAACTGTCCTCAACATGCACTCAGAATGAGTTCTCAATTTCCTCATCACCAAGGCACTCTGCTGCACATATTTCATTACCCATGTCACTAAAATCAAAGTTTAATCCTTCGCATACATGTATATTGGGTGTTGAAAAGATCTCAGATGTGTTGTCTTCTTCTATGTCATCAAAAATATCCTGAAATACCTCCAGTATTTGCAATGCAGTTCCAACTGAAAATACTGGAAATTTCAAAATGTCACTGACAGTGAATATAGTAGAGCAATTATTAACTAACTCAGAACAAGTTCGTCCGAAAAACCATGGACCTCTAGAGGGCAATGGTGCTTAAACTTGTCCTTGAGTTCCGTAAGGGCATCACAAATGTCATTTCTCTGTTGGTCAGTGGTATCTCTCTTCCTTAGTGGCTGAGGTGCTTCCTGGTCTGATACAAGATCTTTTTCAAATGGAAGATTTGAACTACTACAGCCATCACTGCACTTGCAATTAAGGCAGCAATTGCTCCAACAGTCATGAAGAGGTTCTACAGGCACAACATTGGGAACAAAAGGCTTTAAACTTGCCACACGATAGCATCCTTCGGTACGAACAAATTGTTTAACATCATCTTCACAGTGAGCAGACTGGTTGCCATGGTAGATTATTATACTATGGGCATGCTCTCCATTTCAACCTGCTCGTCCTGCCTCTTGATGATAGTCTATGAGTGTCCTTGGTGGCCCCCAGTTAATCACATAATGTACATCAGGAAAGTTAACACCCATACTCAACGCTGTTGAAGCAATTATAATTATTTTGGTATCATCCCCAGAACCCTTAAATGAAGCAAGAAGTCTTTTCTTAGTGGCAGCCCAAGTAATGGAATGGTATACGCCAACAATGCAGGATCTTACACCATCGGCTGTTTCATAATATATGTATTTTCCCATTTTTAAAAACAAATAATTGCAGACGGAAGCCATTTCATTCATCATATTGCAGAATATGATTGTTTTTGGCATATTCACCCCTTTTTCCAAAGCTAAGTCAATCAGCCAATCCAGTTTTCCAAATATTGTGATCTTTTTGCACTTTGTCACTGAGATGCGTAAATTCTTCCTCTCTGGACTGATTAATAGCTTCACTGGGTCATGTAGTGACATCAGACTAATAATAGTACCCTGGGTTTTCTTGTCAGCAGTGGCAGTTAGTGCTAGGAATGGTGTGTCTGCAAAATTATATTTTATATTAAATGTGGTACCATATCTTATTATGTACTTTACAATAGGTAATTCCAGAAAAGATTCTCACTACCCCCACAGATAAAATTTCTGCTGCTCAGATGGGGAGGGGAGTATGTACTTTCGATAATGGTAAATGTACTAGAACGTTGAAGGGCGTAGCAGGGTTAATTTAATACACCTTCATGGGTTGACCAATATTCTAGCCTATAAATAAAATTCAAACCTGTGCAACCCTCCAATTGACAAGTAAACGATTCCGGCATTAGACAGAGTAAAATAATAAAGTAGAACACATTGGGGTGGAAGACAACATGTTTTAGTAATATCTGTTTTAAATTATTTTAATATTCCAAACAAACAATACAGGAGTACAAACCTTTCTTACAAAAGGACCGCAGAATTGACAACTCCCCATAAGCACTTCTGAAAACTTTGTCTTTCTTGTTTCTGTAAGAGAATACATCCCCAAATAAGAAGCAATAATAGAAACAATTTATTGAGAAATTTTGCAATTTTCTCAATGTATTCTTCGACATGGGAGGAGACAGTATCAATTTATATTCATTTTTAATACATATATAGCTGGCTGATTTCCACTGACTACAGGCGTGTAAATATAATATAATATAATATAATATGAAGATCGAAGCTTTGGAAGTAATTAAAATTCATAAATAAGAAATAAGTTTACTGTTTACCTTTTTCCTGTCCATGTTTCCACAGTATGTGACTCGTCTATAACTATAGCATGGATATTTCGTGTCCTCTTCAGCGATTCCCTAAATGCCTTCTGGCTCACTGCTTTGGCAGAGGCGAATACAACATCAGGGGCATCATTCATGTGTTCAAACATTTCTGAACTTGAAAGGGAAACGGCTTTAAGCCCATATGTCTCAGCCTCTGTTAGTTGATCTTTCACAATACTATCCAAAGGACAAATGACAAGAACAGTGCCTGGGCTGGTGCTGGCTCGTGTAGCTTCGATTGACTTTGCAATGGCAAATAATTGAAAAATCAGACTTTTGCCAAAGCCTGTCGGCAAGATCGCAAGAACATCCCTTCCAGAAAGAAGACTCTTTACTGCTTCTTTTTGCTCATCTTTCAAGGTTAGCCTTTTACCTGTTATTTGAAAAATTTTATACAGCGCTTCGTTCAATAAACATTCATTTAACGTCGCCATTTGTATTACTCAAAATGCTAATTTCGCGGACCGGAAGCGAGACACCTTGAGTCAGATTTTGACCAATCAGTATTTTCCGTTCAGAATCTGAACGTGGAATTAATTGACATTAAGGCCGGTTGCAGGCGCTTTATTTTCCCCCTTTCCCCCGTTTTTCCCCTTCGCCGTTTTTTTCTCCGCTCTTTTTTTTCGCATTAAAAAAATCCTCAAATAAAAATATTCTCAAATAAAATTTTAAAAAAATAAAGCGACTGCTACGCAGGCTATGTCGATTATTGATATCTCTGCGATCAAATGAATAATCTGTGCCAATCCGTGCCCACTATTGGACCAAAATAGCAGCGTCTAGAGAGTGCCATTTCCTTCGAAACCACTCTGATCAGTCGTCAGTTCAAATACCAATATGCTGACTTTTCATGGAAGTTTAACTGTTATGGTGTGCTCGTGACAGATATTAATTAATCATGATAATAGCATAGCGGCGTGCGGATCGCATTTTTTCGACAATAATTCACATAAAAACAATATTAAAAATACAAGTAATGCATCACAGTGTCATTACTTTCGCCAAATCGACAGGAAGCCCGCCACCTATAATGTAAACATTTGGTGACAAATAGCTTTTTCAATATGTCAGTATAAAAATAAAATAGAATTTCTGTAATATTAACTTTGACTGTTTGTTCCTAAGAATATTAATAATTGTAAATAAAAGTAAATTACAGCAATAAAAAAAAACTCGCAATAATCCACTTAATAGAAAAAATATTTAAAAATGACAACATTACAGTAATACATCGCAGTGGCATTACTTCCGCCAAATCGACAGGAAGCCCGCCACCTATAATGTAAACATTTAGCTTTTTCGATATGTCAGTATAAAAATAAAATAGAATTTCTGCAACATTAATTTTGACTCTTTGTTTCTAAGAATATTAATAATTGTAAATGGAACACGAATGGAAGTTGTGTGAATTGTTAGCTGATTTCTGATAGATTGGATTCCAAGAACTTTGAGTCGATGTATAAGGCGGAGATGTAAACAACCGAAAGGTCGACAATATTAAATTCCTGGTATAAACTCCAAAAGTGGAACAGCTCAAAGAAAATTTTTGCATTAAAGGTATGTATATTTATATTTTCTTCAAATTCTCTAAACTAAAGGCGAAGAACAATGATGTTTTAAGCGAGTTTTATTTCAAGGGGTTTTTAGTCATGCATCGGACCATTCGCGTAATAGACTAAATTTTGATCTAAACAAAAATTTCATCACAGCTTGAAAGAGCATCACAAAATTAGTAATATTCCAAAATTTCGTTGCGAAATGTTGTAAAATGCGGATAATATAGCCCTGCGAAGTTTGCAATTTTCACTCATTTTAGATTACTAACGGGAAATTGACAGCCCGATACGCTTTGAGGCTGTCAATTTCCCGTTTGTAATCTAAAATGACTGAAAATTACAAATTTCGCAAGGCTATATTATCTGTATTTTACAACATTTTGCAACGAAATTTTGGAATATTACTAATTTTGTGATGCTCTTTCAAGCTGTGATGAAATTTTTGTCTAGACTTGTTGAGATCAAAATTTAGTCTATTATGCAAATGGTCAATTGCCAAACAGTGATTTTTGCATATTTAATGAACCAAAGTTAACTCTTTCTCGTAGCACGTGAATTTAGTTGCCCAAAATAAATTATACATTTCTGAAAAGAGCAGTTTTCCAATAGTGCTTGTGCAAAATCTCATAAGATTTGAAAGGATGACTCTAGTGGCTTCTCAATATTTCACAATAATGTAGTGAGTTTACATTGAAATATTGAAAATCTTGAAACCCATTTGTTAGATGAACTTGACTTCCATTTTAATATTATTGGGGTTACAGAAACTAAAATTACAAATTCATTCAGTTTTTTCAGCATCGGATATTCCTAATACTTTACCTGTAACTAATCTTGGTTACAATTCTGCTGAGGAAATATCTATGTTGAGAATAAGTATTGATTCGGTGGTGAGGCAGCTTAAATCCTTAAATATCACTAAAGCCTCGCTTGGAGTTCCCTCGAAATTGTTGCATGCATGTGTGGAAGAGATTACGCCATCATTGAGTAAGCTGTTTAATATGTCTCTTGAGCTTGGATCTTTTCCCGAAAAATGGAAAGATGCCAATATAGTTCCAATCCATAAGACCAAGTCTAAAGCGATAGTTCCTAATTACAGAGGTATATCTATTCTTGACGTCTTATCCAAACTACTGGAAAAGCAGGTGTATGATGGTACTGGAAAAGCAGGTGTATGATGGTGTATTTAATATTATCTCCCCACATTTTTCTCAATGGCAACATGGTTTCTTGCCTGGTAAGTCAACTGTATCGCAACTATCTCAAGTAGTTCATCAGTTTGGTAAAGCTCTTGAGAAGAGGCAACAAGTAGATGTAATATATCTCGATTTTTCCAAGGCATTCGACAAAGTTTCTCATTGTAAGCTACCATTTAAATTGGAATGCCTTGGTATAAGGGGATCTTTACTGGGTTGGTTCAGGTCCTATTTAACTAATAGAAGGCAAAGAGTTGTGATTAACAATATTTCATCTAACTTTCTTCCTGTAACTTCTGGGGTTCCCCAGGGGTCAATCCTAGGCCCCCTAGTCTTCTTAATCTTTATTAACGATATGTCTAATGTAATACCAAAGGACATGTCTTTACCACTCTTATTAAATTTTAAGTTGTATATATAGTTTAAATTGTATATATATATATATATACAATAGTTTAAATTGTATATATATAAAAGTTTAAATTGTGTATATATATAGTTTAATTCCTGTAGTTTGTCTAAAACATCCCCCCTCCCCCAACACAATGTTGTTGAACTACGTTTAAAATGAGAGGAAAAACCATGGCAACATTGAGCGGGGGAGTGGGGGGGGGGCCTGTATGAAGTTATTTGATTGTATTTTCCTAAAATGTCGATCGATTTTATTAACACTTTTGTCCATGATTGTCTCCAAATAAATTGCAGTTTTCCCCGTTAAAATGCAATCAGTTGCCGAGGGTTTTATGGTTCACAATGTATATTCCCTTCAGCCGAGATTTTTAAGGTTCAAAACGAGATAAAAATTTTTTTTCGACTATATGTGCTTTTATAAACAAAAAAACGCTGATCAACACTATATGTTAATTTAACCAGATAGATTTGCAAGTGCTTTTGATGCAACCAACATGCATGTGCAGTACATAAACTTAGAGTTAAGGAGAAGGCTTAGTGAAAAAATACATTAGACAAATTAATTCTGCATCTTCTGCTCTTGCTAACTGTATAGTTCGTATTAAATAACCTTATATCGTGCTTTGGGGCAAATATCTACCTCTGGTTTCACGTCACGCGGAGCAGTTGACCATGGTTAACCGTGACTGTTAACCACCGACAATAATGAGAAATGTTATGTTTGCTGGCATAATTGTGTAGACATTGTAGCATTTTTGACATTTCCAGAAAATACAGGATTGTATCAGAGAAGATCAAGTTATCACAACTGCGAATTGTGCAGAAATACGATGTTCAGCTACGGTTAACTGCTTGTTTGAAAAGCTATTAAAGACAAAAAATATTTATCAATATTATGGTGAACCGTGCTTAAAAACCCAAATAAGTAAAATGGTAACCATAATTACGATGTAAACATTTAAAAGGAAGTTCATTCATGTCTAATAAATAGAAAAACTACAAAATTTATCGTTCCAAAGCGTTGCCTACAATAATTTCTAACATATATACCCATGGTTAACCGTCTGGTTAAGCATTGCATTGTTAATTACTGAGGCATAAGCAAATTACATTCAAGTGTTCCTGCTGATATTTTACTACACAGTCATTTACGTTACGCTATTCAAGCTAATAATCTGCTACTAGGTTGAAAATGTTTATTTTGCATATTTTAATCTTACAAACTCACCTTACAAGTTTAGTATACAACCCAGCACAAAAAAGCAATGGAATTACGACAAAATATTAATATGACCTATACTGCAAATTACCAGCGGTTTTGGACTTCTATGTCAGTTTTATCGATAAATTACGCTTAAATTCGTCGTTAATATACAGTTACCATTAAATTCAAAACACAAAAAATTGCGATTGCCGTGCACCATATGTACATCAATGGCACAAGTTTTAGTGGGCGTTATTTACATTAGATTACAATCGCTACTTGCGCAAAGTGATTGCGACAATCAATCTCGCATATCATATGTTTATCTAACCCTACGGGAATATACCAGAGAGCAATCCATTTTAAATCTATGAAATGCTGTTTGACCTAAAACAATTAATCTAATCCTCAGTAGAGATATTCAGGCAATAAGTAGCAAATATAGGCCAAAAAAACACTTACTAGTTTAAGGTCCGTGCTCAGACAATCATGGACATAACTTGTTAATAAAATTTTAATTTGCCTTTGTGAGAGTTTAAATTGTATATATATAGTTTAATTCCTGTAGTTTGTCTAAAACATCCCCCCTCCCCCAACACAATGTTGTTGAACTACGTTTAAAATGAGAGGAAAAATTATGGCAACATTGAGTGTGGGGAGGGACCTGTATGAAGTTATTTGATTGTATTTTCCTAAAATGTCGATCGATTTTATTAACACTTTTGTCCATGATTGTAGGTCAGAAGGATGGGGATGAATTACAAGATGATTTAAATAAATTGATGTGGTCATACACCTGGCAAATGGAGTTTAATACTAGTAAATGTATGGTCCTTAGAGTTGCTCAGATTAAGTCTAACCTGCCTCTGAAAGAGACTATCACCTTGGAGGAATAAAGTTAGAACATGTGGTTGTTGAAAAGGATCTTGGTGTTTTGATCACACAGAATTTGAGCTGGAATGATCATGTTGATTTTATTATAAGTAAGGCCCAAAAAATGTTAAAACTCTTATATCATACATGCAAAGATATTTGTGATGTTAAAACAAAAAATTACTATATATAAC